GTACTGGTTCTATTCCAGAGCCCGAAAAGCCAGAGCTGACAGAAGACTATAGATTATGCCATTGTTATCGATGAAGATACAAATTGGGATCAGAATATCGATAGTAGCAGGCCTCCGCAGTCTCTGGACATGACTTTTTTGGCACCTACCAACAGCGGTCCTAACGCGTCGGTCAATATTTTCAAGAAAGATGCATATGATAACGAGCCCCCTGCTGCCGAAGAGTTGTTGCATGCACAAATCGAGTCGGATCCCGCTCCTATATATGACGAAACTGCCGATCCCCCGATAGACTCTTCTATTGGGGCACTGTGCCTGGCTCCTGCTACTCAGATGAGTGTTGAGATGGCTAGTCTCCAGAACAGCGATACAGAGGCAAGGAATGAGCGTGCCAGCACAAGTCCGTCCGCGGAGGATCCTCCAACCCCTCCGGTGGTGGATGAAATATCCGAGGATGAATGGGAAGCTGTCGAAATTATAGGCGAAGAGTTGATCAACGGGAAGCTATACTATACAGTGGAGTGGAAACCAACACCTGTGCCAGAGGAGAACTGTGTGAATATGAGAGAGTTGATTGAGGAGTGGAAGAAGTCAAAGACACGTCGACGGAAAGGAGACAAGAGGACTGGGAGCCGGACCGCTCAGCTCGCACAGGAAGCTGGAGTTTCCAACAAGGCCACAAGGGGTCATGGACAAGGAAAGAAGAGCAACAACAAGGACTCTACAAAACGCCCCCGTGGCCGCCCCCGAAAGTCATGATTAAATAACCAAGGTATCACATTATGGTCTAAAGAGAAGCTATAATATTTGAGTCGTTACGTATGCATTCCTCTCTTCCACAGGTTAAATGCTCTCGTGTTGGTCATCCTTCTGACTGGAAACACTGTAAAGCCGATTGGTTCCTCGTTCAAAAATGGATATCAAAATATCGAACGCTTCTATGCAATCAGCCTCAGTGCCGCCAGCTGGCGTCAGGCGAGAGAGCCGCCAGCGCTCGGAGTCAGATGGATTTAGGTTAGTCCCCCTTTCTCATGAAGTAACTTTAGTGTCTTGACTAGTTATTTCAATCGGCCATCGGGCTTGAGTAGCAATCAGCCCATGGGCATTGTTGGCGCGGATTCGTGAATTATCGCCGAAACAACGCCTCATCTCAGAAGTTGATGGACATGAGACAAGTCTTCGTTTTCAACCAACAAAAGTGGTTACAGTGTCTTGCACACACCCTGCAATCTAGACTCGTTTGTCGTGTCTCGGCTTCTTAGCATAAGCCTACTAATATCCGTGGGCACTACGCAATACAGTGTGACTGCGATAGAGGGTTTCTGCAAGCCGAGCTCTACGAAACTTACAAAAGAAAGAATTTGTTTCAGCTGAATTAGTGATAGGACATGACTATGTAAGCGGAAATTCCCAGCCAATCGTATTACGTGTATTGCCTGCAGCCAATAGAGTGTTCACTCCTGCCTCCATTTGCGAACTCTTAAGTTCAGACATAGCAGTCTGACGCAAGGGCTGAACGTGGGGACAGAAAGGTGGAAGCATGCCCATTGGTGCAACTCCTGGCAACTGCTTGGGCACTAATGCAGGAGGCCAACCATACTTGTTTTACAATTTTCGAGGACAGCTAAAATTTCCAGCCAGTCCTGTTCACAGACCTCGGCGGTCGGGCTGATATCTAATCGGGTAGGGAACCAGCTGCCGCCCTCGATCTGCTGCAGCAAAGCCCGGCACCGAGTGCTGTGCTCATTACCGACGCTGCCCTCACCAAACGCTCCTCAGACACGCACGTGTGAGAAGCGATACTATCTTACGTTCGCCAGGGTGGAACCGCATTGCTATAGGCAATTTCAGTAGCTTTGCCAAACCCGATATCGAGCCTTTTTTGCGAAGACTGACTTGACCTGGCAGGTTGTTACTTACCATCGCACTGACGTCGCGCTCAATTCTAAGCTAGCCACCACTCTGATATATTGATTTGCGGGTTTGAGCTAAGATGCTTGGCCGATCATTCTCGAAATGGCCCTCAGTCACCCGTGCATGGTCAGTCTCATACGCCGGGAAGCCTCCGGTAGGTGACGGGAAACGTTGCGACGTTGGTGATAGTACAGGGTGATCTGAAAGGTCCATGGCGCTGATAAGACGCTAGTTCCAAGTCCTTTGCCTCCGTGGCTCCTATCGCTTCTTTACAGATACGCATAACTTACTTAAACATCGGAAAAGGAAATATCCATTTACCCCATCTGGAGAGCAGCAAGCGATAGCAGAACTGTGCAGCAGGAGGAATGTTCTTGTGTCGGCTCGTCCAGGCTCAGGCAAAACGGCTACGGCCGAAGCTATCGTAGCCGCCTACCCAAACAAACGAGTAGCTGTGCTCACCTACTCAAAGAGACTTCAGCTGGAAACTTATCGACGGCTTCGCACCTACTCTAACTGCGAAGCCTTCACTTTTCACTCCATGGCTGGCTTACTTTTCGGGACCCTTGTTCGTGACGACACTATTCTGGCGGAGCAAAGAAAAGAAGTACTTGATCGCAACAAGTCCCCTCAATGGGGTCCTGAACCCTTTGACATCATTGTGTTGGACGAGTTTCAAGACTGTACCGGACTCCTCTTCTGGCTAACCAACTGCTTCATCCTCGCCAATGACCAGAAGATGGGCGGTCAATCTGCGCGTCTCGTCGTTCTGGGAGATGAGAGACAATCCATCTATGGATTTCGTGGTGCCGACGACCGCTACCTTACCTCGGCTCCTGAGTTATTGGGTCCCCTCAACCCTTATCCCTTTGTTAGGGCTCAGTTAAGCCAAAGCTTTCGGCTGTCAACCCAATCAGTTCGGTTCATCAATAATACTTTTCTCAGAGGCGAATCATACATCACCAGCTCCAAGCCTGGCCCCAAGCCCATTGTCATAAGATGCCACCGTTGGGATAGCGACGCGTTGGCCGAGCAGCTGTGGAACCTAATCAAGCGCTATGGAGCCAAGAATACCGCAGTTATAGCGCCTGCTGTGCGTAGTCATGGGCCTCTGCAGGAAGTGGTCAATATATTGTCGGAGCAGTATAGTGTGCCTATTGCCGTATCACTCGAAGACGAGGTTCCACTAGATGACAGGGTAATTGAGGGCAAGATGTGTGTTTCCACCATTCATCAATTCAAAGGCAGCGAGCGTGATTTAGTCATACTCTTCGGCCTCGACTCGTCATTTTTTAAGTATTATGGCCGCAATCTCCCCGATGATAGATGCCCTAACGTGGTTTTTGTGGCTCTAACGCGTGCAGTGGAACAGCTTGTCTTGGTCCACTACGAAGAGGAGAAATTCATGCCTTTTACATCGGTCGAAGCTTTGCTCGAGACAGCCAAGGTCATCGATATCACAAAAAATGGGGACAGAATTAAGCCGCCTAATGCTCCGGGCCGACCCTTGGAACGTGGGCTTACCCTGCCACGCTCGATCGTGGTCCGGGACATAGCCCGGCACATAAAGGATGAAGATCTCGACGCCATTGTTAATAGCCACTTATGCATTCGAGCGCTCTCACCTCTACCGAAGAATGAGCACATTGAGCTCCTGGATATTGTAGTTTCGGACAGAGGAAAGAGGTTCCACGAAGCGGTGAGCGATTTGAATGGTCTAGTCGTTGTCGCGGCCTTCGAGTATGATATTGCTGGAACTCTGGACACACTTGGTCTTATACAAAGCGATACCGATACAATTCCTGCAGTCTGCTCACACCAGGGTGTTTCGTGGCTTTGTCGAAAGGCCTGTGACTATGAGGCTGGCTTCTCGGGCTATCTCCCGCGTAGTATCCAGATGAAAAACCACGCCTTCGATTGGATAGAACCTGAAGACCTTGCTCTGGCACGGAGCCGACTCCGCGGGGAGCTCAGCGGGCTAGCCTCAAACCTTAGGTTCGAGGTTGAAGCCGAGGGGGGGTTCAGCATTGATGATCAGAAATGCCGACTCGTTGGTCGAGCTGACATCGTGGCAACTTTGTCCAATTCCGATAGAAATAACGTCGGAGGCATTGAATCTTTATGGGAGATCAAATTTGTTTCTCAACTTTCATACCAGCATGCCATACAGGCATGCGCGTATGCCTATTTGCTGAAGCTTCCGCGCGTTATACTCTACAATGTACGAAACGGGCAGAAGTGGGAGATCATACCTCGTGACGGGCAAGAAGGACTACGTCACATGATTGAAAGCGTTCTCAGGCTCAAATACACGACTACAGGAAAGGTGAGTGATGAGGAATTTACGGAGATTTGTGCAGGGATAAGGTTGGAAGTCTTGGGTTTGATTTATTACTTGGAACATCATATGAATACGGGACCAAGCCCATCTTTATCAAGATTAAGTTAAATGGAATCTTGACTACATTACCTAGAGCACCTTTACTCAATACCAGACTTATCCTTTACCCCTGAAACTCAATTATTCAATTATCGTGCTATAAGAGCTGACGACTTGAGACACATTTGTGGGAAAATGACATCGGAAACCAGTTGGTCTAACGGCCTAATCTAGTGGATTCTATGCAAACCCTGTACATTCCAGATTCACGCCTTATTTGCCATTTCTCACCCTCATTGGGTTGATGTTTTTTGTAACAGAAATTCTTAAATTTTAAGTAATATAATATGGCACTTTTCATTCATTATGCAACTTTTTAGCATGGGGTATTTTAACATAAGACGTTTTGGCATGAGACGTTTTGGCATGAGACATTTTGGCATGAGACGCTTTCGCATGAGACGATTGATTCTATAGTTATCTTTTTTAGGCTAATTCGATAATTCAAATCGACTCTACGAATCATGTTCTTAACATCCACCGTTCCATGTTGGTGCCATATCCTCAACTCCTATCAATCGTCCAAACTGGTCGAAAGACAACACAATTGATTTGGTTTAATGTATCCGACGAAAGATGCACATGATAACGAGCTCCCTGCTGCTAAAGAGCTGTTGTATGCATAAGTCGAGTCGGATCCCGCTCCTACATATAATAAATCTGCTGATTTCTTAATAGACTCTTCTATTAAGGCACTATGCTTGGCTCCTGCTACTCAGATGAGTGCTGAGATGGCTAGTCTTGAGAATAGCGATGCAGAGGCAAGGAATAAGCGTACTAGTACAAGTCCGGCCGCCGAGGATCCTCCTACCCCTCCGGTAGTAGATAAAATATCCGTGGATGAATGGGAAGCTGTTGAAATTACAGGCGAAGAGTTGATCAATGGGAACCTATACTATACAGTGGAGTGGAAACCAACCGCTGTACCAGAGGAGGATTGTAGGAATATGAGTGAGTTGGTCGAGGAGTGGAAGAAGTCAAAGACACGTCGATAGAAAGGTAGCAAGAGGACCAGGAGCCGGACCGCTCGGTTGGTACAGGGAGCTGGAGTTTCCAAATAATAGCATCCCGCTCGCGGCCGCGATGGTCCCTACGAATTCAATCATTTCCCCCAATGTTTTGAATACCGTAGGTCATCCACCCGGCCGTCGAGCGGGTACGGAACGCGAAACACCATGAGCAAGCCACATCTCACGACGCGCCGACGGACGGCATCAGCGATATTGGGCGTAAATCATTCATATTACATTGTTCATTGATAAACCACTGCGATATCGATTCCTCACGCTATCCCATTGTATGAAATGGGCTCGCACCAAGAATGACTCCCACCACATTAAACGGCGCGTGATTAATGAGACAAGAGGGCCAACACGAAGACGGTCGTGGGTTGTCGATATCAGGGGTTGGGAGTACCGATGGAGTTTGGCGTTTATCAGTCACATGAAAAACAACCAAAGTTAATGAGCAGAGGTTTCATGGAAGGCCTTCGTCCTGTACGCTCTAGGTTATTATTAAGTATAGAAGTGGGAGAGATTAACGATTAGGTGGCCCGTTAGAATGTGCAAGGCTGGATCAGGATCTGGCAATCTCCTTACAATAATAGCTCGAGAGATAGCCAATCACCTGCCCTTGAAGTCTGACATCGCAACTGCAGAACTTATGCAGGTGGCAATGCTTAAGCAGTCCTTTGTACAGTAGGCCTGTCATGTTCATAAAGTTGCGAAGGCACTAAGATGACTAGATACTCTCTAAAGGGCCACATTTAGGCAAGGACACACAGAGAGAGCTTGATTGCTGCTTCCTCCTAATTGACACAACGGCAGTCACTGCCTGCTGCGATGTGTAAGAGATCGGTCTCCTACAAGGTTGGCACGGGCCCTCGTGGAAGATACACGGCGCGTTTCGTGTTCTCGGTTTACAGGCCAAGACGGAAATACGGCGCATTTCCAGCGGAGAAATTTAGGGTAAGAATACGGAGATTTTGATTGGTACAAAGGTGGAAATGCGCCGTGTTTCCAGTCTACCTGCTTGATTAGGAAACTGAACACTTGGAGGAATTGGGCTTCAAGTTGATCTGCTCCCAATAACCGATACGAGGATCTAGAAGGAGAATAAAGAAGAGACAGAGAAGAACAAGGCGGGAAACATAGGGGCTCTGCGAGATTAAGACATCAATTGGCGAAATGTATGTATTTTTAGTTTTTAGAGCCCTCTGGGCGGTGGCCTACCGGGCGTAATAGATCTGTCTGACTACTAGGTTCGATGATTACTGGAACAAAGGTTTTTCTACAATGATAATGGATTATAACCTGGTTGATGACGAGATTAGTTCCAGATAGCTAAGAGAAATTGATTCAATATTTTTCGTGTGACAAGCGTTCTCGCAACTCCTACTCTAAGTCTCAGACTAGTTTAAATAGCTCTAAGTTAATTCCTCGATCACGCAAAGCTTCTGGGAGCATACGAGGATCGGAATTCATAGTCTCTCCAGTAACCTTGTTCCGAAACCACGAAAACAATTGAGGATCTTCCTTTGTCCTATCTTCTTGAATGGCTTCCCACCCAACAGGTAGCTGGTCTAACCTAGGATCTTGCTGGACCTCTTCCAATGTGTCTTTGTTGAAGAAATAGGGAGTTTGGACTCCGCAGGAGTCGGGCTTATACAGCATGACCCATGGCACTTGGAGAGGGCCAAGGAAGGCCTCCGCGCTAGAGAACCCATGGAGATAACAACTACCAATAACTTGAAAATACCCCGTTGTCGATGGACGAAGAATAACTAATACTTGACAGCCAAGAAAGGCACATACGATATCACCTACACATATTCAGCTTCCAGACTGTACAGTCAAGCTATTTCAGGGTTATTTACTTACCTGGCTTTGCGTCCCGATGGCTCAGGCCAAAATATCCCGTTTTACAAGTGATAAAGGCCTGTTCGGGGAGGAACCGGAGTTCATGGGCATAGCTACTAATATCAACATTTCTGGTAGGCTCGTCAGAAGAACCCATAGAGCCCGCCAATACTTCCGCGAGTTTGTCTTTTAATTCCTGAAGGGAGGACCAAGTCACTATAGCGGGGAACCGATCTCTAAGTTTACCCTGGACAAGAGTGGTGATAAACGCGTCCAGGATGCTTTCCCCTGTAGGGTATTTCCCTGTCATCAAGCTTTCTGGCTTCCAAGTGTGGAGTGCTGTCAGCCGCTTAGTTATGCCATCTGGATATGTCCCTTTGTTGCTTTGCACAGTGGCCACCTTGACGCCGCACACTTCAAGAATGTCAGGGGCGCGATAAGTTGCCTCAGCACAAGACATCCCAGATACCAGCCCCGCCGCTCGGGATAGCAACTCGCTTAAGTTACCAGACAAATCGGGAACCCACGAAGGAAGTTGCCTAGGCCGACTTGTTCGCAAGCTACAGAATTCGAAGTGTAGCCGCTGCAAGTGGTACTTCAAGCCCAGAAACAGACTGCGATAAACTGTTGCCACGGGCAGAGCATACTCTGGTCGAATATGAGGCAGCAAGTTAGACGAAGCGAGTCCAAGAAGCCCGTATACCTTATCATGAGGGTTGAAGCATTCTAGATGTGTGACCACCTGGAGCAAGGTAGCGAAGTTCAGGCCTTCGAAGTTATAGCAGAATGTGCCAAGCTTTGGGAGCTTGCTCGAGGAAACACATTGAGGGATGTGTCTCTTCCACATAAGACATACAACTGCCCTGCGGAATCGTTTCCATGTCATCTGATATATTCCGCATTGTACGACTGCATTGTGGTTGGAGAGATGGATCTCTTGCACAACCCATAGTCGGTTGAAATAGGGGCGGTTTGCCAAGTCTGCAATAGCCTGCCAAGTACTGTCGTCATATGGCATATCGGTGAGCGAATCAAACCAGTCTTGGCGCACGCATCCAGGCGAAGGTCGAACCCAGTTTGCCTTGTTAATTTCGACCTGTGTGGCCAAGTAGTCTAGCGTGGATAACGCAAGCGTGCTATTGTCCGATTCTTGTCCCAGCCAGATCACAACACGGACTGCCGAGCGAAAGATATCGGCCATGCGAGGAACTTGAATATTCTTTTCACAAATACTGCTTTGGTTTATGCAAATTGCGTCAGCCCACAGTGTCCGAGCCGTATCAGGATATCGGAGATGTTTGAAGGCGCTGGCAAGATTTTCCCCAATATGAAGTGTCCTGAGTTCACATAAGCCACCTTGGGAGAGGACCTGGACGGTTTGCGGGTTACTTGTACTGCCCCAAGTGTATGATAGAGCCTCATATTGTGGGAAACACGTTATATCATTGGCAGGAGAGCCATGCAGCGATCGAGTAACACTTCCATTAGGGTGAGCCCAGGAAGAGGTATGCAAATTTTCATTCCAGAATAGGCATCGGCCCTCGGCGGTTTCTTCTGCTTCCCAACCGGATGGCAAGCTTTTCTGCAGGTCATTCAAAGGCCCGTGCTGACGAGGTTCCTCTCTCGTGGCCCTGAGTGACGCATGGTGAATTATGATCTTGATGTCAGACTCAGGTTGACCAGGTAGCAATGTGAGTATTCGAATATCGTCGTCGACTAGCTTGGAATACTCATATAAAGACATCGTGGCGTCGTGGGGAAGAGAAAGGACTGGAAAACGCCTTGCCTAAGCGGGGTTGTATCTATTCGGCCCCCAAAGGAACGGCGCTGCAATAG